GTGAAAGGGAAGATTGGCCTATCCCCTTTCCCACTTGCTCCTAGCAGCCAGATTTACTTCCTGCTTACCACCATCGACCACCACCCACACACCCTCACAACCATCATCATCATCACACAATCACCACCACCACACCACCACACACATCACCACCACCCACCATAACCACACCATCACCCTCACCACAGGCCGACCACCATCTATCGCCCGATTTATTCTACACCAGAAGGACCACCACCGGACTAACAACATGAACACACATATGCTTATCATCTAGTCACCTAGATGCATAGATATGGATATTTAATTAAGTGAGAGGTTTTAAGAATATGGAGTGGATGTGGAATGAGGAGGATATTTGGGACCAATGAATCGAATGTTCATATTGTGGGGAAAGATTTGGATATTAAAGGTATGATTTAATTTTGATAGTATTTTGGGGAATATGATATACATAAAGAATGATGAATGTTTTAGAAAATTATAATTGCAAGGTGGGAGAGTTGAATCAAGACCACCCATAGAACTACCGGACTATAAACTGGTACATTCATCATCATCACACCCTTTCTACCACTGGAGAAGACTCGCGTTAAGTATAAAAAATGGTTGATATGAAATTATATTCTTCATGGTTAGGAGCGATGAAATATAATAATGAACCGTTTACTCAACTGACAAAGTATAATAAGAAATGGTAAATTAATGGAAGCCACCATCATCTATCAAGTTCGGACCAAACTGATCACTACCACCAGTAATACAGCGGTACCTTACGCAGGGGCGGGTGACATGACATTCCCACCTAAATAATACACGATCTGAGATCTGATCATCAGATCTTTGGGGATGGTATGGACCGATTAATTTGGGAGGCTAGGGATTACTATTGGATATATGTATAATACTAGTATTTATTTTATTATTAAGTTTGGGAGTATAATCACACCACCCACCATCACACCACATCATCATCCAATCACCACCCATACACACTATCCATCACAACACCATCATCATCCATCGCACTACATCACACCCTGAGGTTTTGCAATTGAAATGAAGATTTAGGATGGTGAGATATTATATAGGTTTATTTAGGAAATAATATTAATATGGATTTTTATATTTAGCGTGAATTGAATGTTGTTTAATGGTTAATTTGAATGAAATTGTTTTTAGACTCTTTATATTATCACCACCCCGCGAAAACACATTCACTCTTTGGACAGGAAAGGTATCTATCTAGGAGAACCACCAGACCACGCGAACTGGGCGTAACGACCAAATGTGAGATCAGGCATGTTTTGTTGACACCACGTTTAGCTCTCTTATTAAGGGAAACTCATGGCTATGCACTACGCTTACCATTATTTTCACGTCCATACACCTACCATACCATATGGTTCACTTCGGTACGCGTAATATGTTATAACCAGTGTATGGACGGCTTTAGTTACTCTTTAGTGTTGTGATAAGTTGAACACGCTGATCCTAGTGTTTTACTGTAACATTACACGGAATTAGGTGTGAGAATATGGAAGGAATTTTATTTTAGGATTTTATGATTTATATTCAGTGTTAGATTGGTTGTTCGGGACTCATTTTTGGTATCGACTAGGGAAGGATGTGTGTTACCTAGAAATTGTATTTATAAATTTAGTTTGTGGTGAATTGTGTATTATATTAGTATTTGTATATATTGGTAGAGAATCAAGAAAATTATAATATTATAAAGGACCACGTCGCGGCATTCATCACGCGATACCGCAGGGAGTTCCTAACTCATTCACAACCACACTAATCCGACCATTATACCTACCAGAAAGAGAAATTGATTTTTAATGGAGATTTGGAAATTAAATTTATGAATACTTGATTGGAATGGGAATAATATATAAAGAATATATGAAGATAGCATCATGTGTTATTTTGGGGGTGTACTACGCTTTTATCGTGTGACGTTTGCACTCACAGCGATTCTACGGCTTACCGTGTTTGTTTTGTTGTTTTACCTGACCGGTGTTGGACTGTGACGATTTTTTTTTTAGGTGTGCCACCACTCAAACTGTAGCTTCATCATCTTACCACCGACCCATCACCACCATCAGCACCACCACCTATCCAGCAGACCACCGTGACCGTACCTGCTTTACCACGTCACCATCCCGTCTTAGCCAGGGTGTGGATGTGGGTATTGTGGTGGTTTTGGTTATGTTCATCACGTTCCAACCTATCTTTCCTATTACCACCACCTTTGGACCGCGGCAGGACCATTCACACACCACCACCACCACGACCATCACCACCCCACCACCATCACCAATCCCACCACCCCATCACCACCACCACCCCACACACGCGATTCAGCACCACAACCATCAGCACCCACACCACCAACCATCACACCATCACCACCAATCTACCACCACCTACCACACACACCACATCACCACCACCGATCACCATCATCACCACCACCACCACCACCATCACCGACCACCCACCACCACCTACCACCACCATCAAGCCCACACCACCACACGGCAACCACACCACCATCACCATCTACCACCATCCACCACCACCACCACCACCATCACCACTACACCATCACCATCATCACACCACCACACCACCATCACTATCACCACCCACCACCATCCACCACCACCCACACACCCCACAACACCCCCACATCAACCGACACTCCACCATCCACCACACCACCCACCACCACCACCACAACATCACCACCACCACCATCACCACCATCACCTACCACACCATCACACACACCACCACACCACCATCAGCACCACCACCATACCACATCACCCACTCACCACCACCACCATCCACCACCACCTCACACACACACCACCACTCACCAACACCACACAACATCCATCACACACCCACACCACCACCACCCACCATTACCACCACCATCAACACCAGACATCACCACACCACCAACCCACACCACAACACCCCCTTCACCACCACCACCATTACTATCACTGCCCTCACCACTACCACCATCATCACCACCATCATCATCATCACCACCACCATCACCACCACTACCACCACCCCAAGAGATGAAAGATTCCTATCTAAGGAAACTCACCTAAACCAATAGGAAAAGTCCACAGTTTAAGATCCCTAAAAAAGACCCAATGTTTCATCTTTATATTTTCCTATAGAAAAGCCCAACACACCCATGGAAACAGGGCTTCTAATCAACTCTTTGGTACTCTGTCTTAGACACAAACAGGCAAGGGTCACCAGACATCTCAGGAAAATATCTTACATAAAAATAAAAATGAAAGTAAACAGAGAAAAAGGATACTTAAAGAAAACAGAGAATGCATTAAGTTGAAGAAGATGTAAAAAAGCAATACTTAACTAAACTCAGAGTTAAGAAAAATAATGAACCATATAACAAGAATGGAAGCTATTTAATAAAAACAGCCTAGAGATAACAAAAAAAGAGCTTTAGAAGTACAAATATGATGGAATAAATGGGAAAAAAAACCAATAGAGGAAAGAAGAAACTTGAGGAAATATGCCAGAAATTAGAAAAAGACAAAAACATGGAAAATGGGGAAAACAAGATAAAATTAGAGAATTAGTAGTCCAGGAGGTCCAACATTTAAATAAGAAGAATTCCAAAAAGGAAAAAAAAAAAACTTCAAAACAAAACAAGAGACACCTAAAATCTCCCAGATTTAGGAAAAACAAAAATAGGCAGATATAAAACACCAGGAGACAGACTGGCATCAGGTTTCTCAAGAGCAACTACGGGAGCGGGAAGAGAGTATGGAGTGGCACTTTTTTCCCAATTCTGAGGTGCAACAGTGTCCCACCTGGAATTCTGCACCTAAGCAAACTGTAAACAAAAACAGAGAAAACAAGACATTTTCTGACACACCATGTTCAAGCAGGGCCTGCTATTTTCATAATAATCCTTGTAGGACTATGTGACCTTTTCAACCAATATCACACATGTAATAATTTGAGAAAAAATAATTTTTATTATCCAAACAACTATCTTTTCATAGAGAAATGAAAAGACCCATTGTTAGACAGGAGAAATAAGTTGAAGAGACCTATTGTACAACAGGGTGACTGTAATAAATAACAACGTACTATATTTTGAAAAATCACTAAGGGTAGATTTTAAGTGTTCTCACCACAAAGAAACAACAAGGATGTGAGGAAATGCAATTAGCTCAATGTAGCCAATCCACAATGTATACGTATTTTAAAACATCATGTTGTACACCATAAATATGTACTATTTTTATTTGTCAATAAAAAAACAATAAAATTTCAAGCAAAAAAGAAAAAATACACATTGGGTTACAAAGATGCACTCAAGACAGAAATTCATCACACCAAATTCCCTCTTCATAGCACAGTAAAACCAGAAATAACTTTCTAAAATAGAATCTAATGTTCCTAAGGCCAAGGAGATTAAACATGCTCATCTCTGGAAAGTACAGGGAAGCTGGCCCACTGCGGTATGGCAGGATAAATACTGTAATCCTTTCAGAAAGCAATTTGGTGGCACATTTCAAATCCATAAAAATATGTGTGCACAATTTGCCTCACTGAAAGAGCGACTGGGAATTTATATTAAGGAAACACTCCAAAATAAAGAATATTATTTCTTCATGGCAATCAATTCAGTTATTTATAATACAAAATGGTGAGCAACCAAAGGTTCAAAGATATAAGCACAGTAAAGAAAAATTATGGAACATCAACTTGAGAGAATAGCTGTAAAAACAGCAAAAATATAAAATGCATAATTTTGGAATGTTTTTTAGAAAAAAACTTTGTATCCTCACTATGTGTAAGACTTCATCAGAATAGGGAATGTATTAAAACCATGTTAATTCAAAGATTATTTATGATAGCGTCTTGGATGCTAACGTCTACCTTCATTTATTGTAACCTATACTGAAACCCAGTGAAGCATTCGAGCTTACCTTTGAGCCTGGAGGGGGAGCCAAACCAAGGAACGAATAAATAATATTCTCTTCTTTTGCAGAGAAGAAAGAGTCAAAATCCTTAAAGCAAAGAAAAAGAAAGTTTAAACCTATTATACACTTGGGAGCCAGTATATTTACCCAAATTGATCTTTTTTACTTATGAGTCATTAAGTTAGGAGCTAACAGAAAAGGTTATACCAGTTTGCTTTGTCAAAGATGAAAAACCCCATAAGTTAAGAAATCTAACTGTGAACTTTACATGTGCTTTCGTGCACTTTCATTGTGCCTGTACAACACAGGGCGAGCTCGCACAAACATACACACAAAACCACGCGTGCACAGGAATTGCTCACAAACCCAAATGCACACAGTGAATGCTGTTGCAAACATTCCACGTCTTTAGCTGGTTTACCTATCATTTGGCCCTATGGATTTGGACCCCGCCCAGCCGAGACTGAGGCAACACAGGATGTCCCTGCTGTCACTACAGCAGCTCGAAGGGCCAGACTCATCTCAGCCCTTCCGATAGGAGGAGCCACAAGATTATGGGCGGGGAGACATGTTACCTCTAGCTCTTTCTAGGAAGAGATCATTCCAGTCTCACACAAACTCTCTTATAAGGCACATAAATTTGCGTCTGATCAAGAGACAACAGTCATACAGTGATTTAAACATGGAAAGTTTAATGTGAAGATTTTTGACGATAGGAAAGCAACAATAAAGGAGTAAAGAGAACACTAAGGACTCCCCTAGGGCCATGGGAGGAGCAGCTAGGGAAGGAATAAACGTGGGAAGAGGCAGGACCTTTCCCAAGTCTAGGATTCAGAACTCACAGGAGAAGCAGTGACTATAGCCCAAAGCATTGCGAGAAGTCCACTGGGTTGTCCTCGGCCAGAGCTGGTCCTAAGACACTGGGCAAATAGGAAACAGCCTTGTGGGTGCAGGTGGGCCACGGCTGGTGAGCTAGCACACAGTGGGAGTCAGGGCTTCGGGAGCCCACTGGCTGGCCAGGTGGTGGGAGGCCTGGGGCGTGTGGTGTCCACATCAGATGGACCACGATGAGGTCACCAGGCTGGGTAGGACTGGAAGCTCTCTGAGGGACTTTATGCTCTGGGCATGTGATGGAGGTAGAGCACCACAGGATCTCTCTCTCTCACACACACACACATACACACACACACACACACACACACACACACACACACTGTCATCACATGGTAGGAGGAAGAAGCAAAAATACATCTACTGGGGAACCGGGAAGAAAAGTCCCTTCTTCCTGCAATGTCCCTCCAGCTGACAAAACTTGACACTGTGCTCACTGCCAAGGAGAAATGCTTAAGGATCTAGCACCATCGTCACAGGGCAGGTAATGACAGATGGGACTGTAGCTGAGAGGCAGTGAATTGATAAATGGCATTCAAAGAATAGAAAAAGAAGGACTATTCCTACAACTGATTTAACAAGGCCAGTCTACCTACTCTGGATACCAAATTTAGAGAACAAAAAATTGATCTCATTCAGACTCTTTCATGCACATAGATTAAGAATCCTAAATTTTCACAAGGCTTCCTGCAGTAAAAATAAATAAATAAAGAGAACAATTACTAATATTAAATTTTAACAAAATATAAAATAAAATTAAAAATTAAAAAAAGGAATCCTAAATAAAATATTAGCAGACCAAATCCAGCAATATATAAAAAGTTAATATATTACAACCAAGTTGGGTTTCTCCCAGAAACAAAATGGTGACTTAACACTAGAAAAAATGATAAATGAAACCTACATTTGCAGATTAAAGAAGCAAAATTATTTGTTCAGCTTAATTAACAGGTACACAAATGTTAATTAAACATCTATTAATAATTTTTAATGAATTTTTTTACTAAACTATGAAACTAACCTGATAAAAGGAAGCTACACAAAACTTTAGCAAATATCACACCTAATGGGAAAACACTGAAAACATTATACTTAAAATGAAAAACAAGACAAGGTCACCTATTATCATTTCTGTTCAGTATTGTTCTAAAAAGCTCTCACCGGGACAGTAACTCAAGAAAAGACAACACGGAGAAGTTGTAAAGGAAGAAACAAAACTGTCCTTAAATAATTTGTATATTAAATATCTCCCCAAACAGCCTACAGATAAATTATTACAATTAATAAGAGTTTAGCAAGGTTGCTAGACACAAATATTAACATGAAAGGTTATTTTATATCAGTAAAAATCAGGAAGAAAATTGCAACTTGAAAAAAGAGACAGCATAAAAAATGTGAAGTGCCTACAAATGAAACGACAAAACACATATAGAGAAAATTTAAATATTATAGACCTAAATAAATGCTGCTATAGACATATCCTTAGATTGGACATCCCATCTCTATAAAAACATACCTTAAGGATGCTAATTTTTCCCAAATTGATCTACAGATTCAATATTTTTTCCTCAAAATTTCAACAGGAATTTTGGAAGAACCAAGTAAGATAATTAATCTAAAATGAGAAGACAGAGGGCTAAAAAAACCCCAGAGGAAGCAGATCATTACAGAGCTGTGATCACACAGTGTGACACCGTACACAAACAGAGAGACAGGCAGACACGGTGTCCAGAAATAAACCCGCACACAATACACGCAAATGATCACAACAGAGCTGGTATTGTAGTGTCAACCCAAACAACAGCGACAGGCTCTCTAAAAGAACATGATATTTATTTGGGAACAGGGCACTGCAATGTGGATATCTTTGCCACAGTAAACTGTGTGCATATTCAGGGAGTAAAGGAAGACAAAGGTTTTCAAAGGAAAAATAAGAAGGATAACATAATTTTTTTGAGATAACTAATTACCCTTGGCTACAAGGATCAATAACAAGGGTGACGCCAGTCCAGGAATGAACAGGCAGTTGCTGGGCGGATGTCGTTGCAGACGTATTTGTTGGGTAAGGTTGTGGTGGCCGTTAGGTGAGGCTGTGGTTTTTGCAGGGTCTTTTGTGATAATTTTATCAGGCACACAAGCATGAGGACCCTCTCTTCACAGCCTTCCTGGCTCTATTTGTCAGAGGCTTTTTTAACATGAGCGACTCCACTTTGATTCTGACAATTTTCACAGCAATCCAATGGAGAAAAGATGGACTACTTAATGAACACGGATGAGACAGTTAGTTATCCATTTTTTTTAATTGCAATTACGTCTTTACCTTTATGTCATATTGTTCACTAACAAAATATTAATTTTAAATCCCTTAAAGAAGTAAATGTGTGTGAAGCCAAAACTATAAAAATTTTAGAAGACAGAATAATAGAATATATTTCTTATTTCAGGTTAGAGAAGAATAAAAAAAAATCAATCATGAACTGAGAGAAGATATCTGCAACACATACAATCAACGAAAGTTAATACCTTCTACACTATATAAACAACCCATGCAGATCACAAGGAAAAGGCAAAAACTCAACAGAAAAATGTGCAAAAAATACACAAAGAGGACATACAAATAAACCATGGAGAGCCACTTACTCACATTAGTAATCAGGGAAATGCAACTTAAAGGCCACAACAAGTTACCATTTCCCACACACCAAGTCCACCAAATGTCAAAGTTGAATAATGCCAAATGTTGAAGATGTGAAACACGGAAAACTCTCACCGACTACTGGTGGGAGTGCAAATTGGTAGAACATTTAAGAAAACACATTGTATTATCTATCAAAGCTCAACATGCCCATAGCTATGGCCAAGCAATTACACTCCAAGAAACCAAGAGAAACTCACACGTCACCAGACCTGTTGAGATCATTTGTTTAGCAGCAATGTTATGTTCATAACAGCCAAAAACCAAAAACCACACAAGGGGCCTTTCTGGAGCATTGAAAAGGAACAAACTATGAACAACGTTAATTCATACGGATATATCTTTAATATATGTGGGTAAAATAAGCAAGTCGAAGAGCAACACATAGAGTATGAATCCACATATGCAAAATTCAAAAATAGGCAAAACAAGATACTGTTTAGATATATACCACGTGGGAGATAAGAGAAAAGGAAGGGGGTGGTAAACACAAAATTCCCTGTGACGACCGTCTCTGGGGCAGAGGGAAGGGATGTGAAAAGGGTGATAGCGTGGTTGGCTTCTAAATTCCTGGTACTGCTACACTGTACCTATTACACTGTTGTTCACTGCATCATTCCTCTTTAAACTACATATTTTTGTCATATATGGCATATTTCAAAAAAAATTGAGAACACAAAATAGTTTGTTCAGTAACATCAATGTGTTGAGAAGCCGTCTCCCTTCCCCCGCGCCCATCCCCCAGATTTGGGTTTGTATCCTGCCCACCCTTACAGCCCTGAACACCCAGAGATACTTCTTCTCTGCTGAGTGGGCACCTCTCTGTTGAGCGGTCAAGGTTCCCTTTAGCCGTGCTTGGGCCAGGCTGTGTTGGTCCCAGGCAGGACCCCATCATTCTACCTGAGCTAAAGTGCACAGACTCCTGCTTGTCATCAACGGACGTGTCTGCTACTTCCAGTTCGTGTTCTTCTGCCAGGTGGGTAGCCTGGCCTTGACGGTGCCCGGCTTCCTGTCTGGCTTCTCCTCTCCCCATCTAACAGCCTCCTGCCATGGCTCTCGGGATAGCATCCTCGCCTGTTCTGCCTAGAGCAGCAGCAGTTCAAACTGGAAGAGATATGAGGCTACTGAAGACCACCCTGACCTCCAGTCCCTCTCACTGCCCTGGTGCAGAGAAATCTGCTGCCTGTCTCTGAGGTCCCCTACCAGGTGCGGCCATCATTAGTGCAGCACGTGGCTGACCATTCAAGAATCCTCAGAAACCAGTGCGATGACAAAATATTAGTCATATACATCAAACATTTTAATCACGTGGAAAGGGACGTTGACTGACTATATACGCCATTTTAAACCTGACGCATCCTTCCAAACTTTTGAGTGTCCTTTTAAAATCTGAGCCTACAAGACACATAATCATTTGTACCTACTTTCTGGAAACAAAGCCCTCTTGAATGTTCTTTTGTCAAGTGCATCCATAGACTGCAGAAAAGCAAATTTAGCAAAG